ATTACCCTCACAATTCCGACCATACAATCGCCGGAATAAAAACGGATCTCTTTGAAACTCTCAAATCAAAATCAGATCTGCAAAAAGAAAGTGAAAATTAACTAAATTAGCCCAACGCGAACAAAAAATTTCACATAAAAATCGATTTTTAAAAATAATATTTACCTTTCAATAAATAAAGATTCAAACTTTCAACCATGAATCGATGATTTGAAATGAATGCAACAACAACGCCGAAATATATACAAATAAATATATGTGTGTGGAGAGAGAGCGATTTGTAAGATTAGGGTTTGAACAGGAACAATATGAGGCGGCGAAGAGGAATAAGAATATGAAATTTTAGGGCAAAACGGAAGTGCTTTTTTTGTATTTTTTTTCTTTTTTTGTTTTTTGTTTTGTTTTTCTTATTCTAGAGTCTAGAGGGAGAAAAAGAGATGGAGCCTTGGGGCGAACGAGAATGGGACCCTCCCTTCTTGTCCACTTCCTCACTACTCCAAAAACAAACAAATATATAAATGTTTTAAGAACTAAATTTTTGGATTTTTCTATATTGGAATATTCTGTGGGAATAAACAATTGGAGGAACTTTGTTTGTTACGGTAATAATAATAATAATAATAATAATAATAATAATAATAATAATAGGGGGACAACTTGTAGGTTGGCTGCATTTATGGTTCCCTTTTTTTTTTCCTCGTACATATATATTTTTTAAGGGTTTTTGGTTTTTGTTTTTCTATTTTTTTATTTTTTTTTATTAGTATTAGCACCCGCGTGGATACGTGGACACTAATCATGTCAACCATTTGAGTTACCTGAATTATATATAAATAATCTTAAAATTTACACCTTCTCGATAAATATTAGATAATCATTGGATATTAATTAAGAAACACTACATGAAATTAACAATTTCTCAAATCTCCTAGTTATAATTCTATTTTTTCTTTTTGATAACATTCTCGTCGGTGTCGTTGGATCCTAAAAATTGTCAGGAAGCAAAATAATAACTCATAGTTATGGTAAAATAATTAAAGGTTGAGAATATGAAGGACTCTTTGGATATGACTTGACTCAAATAAATACTACTTGAACTCTTATTTGGTGTGTTGATATCTATTAATGAATATTTCTATTTTAAAATTTTAATTTTTAAAATTTATTTTTTAATAATAATTATTTTTATATTTTTAATTCAAAACTCATTTTAGTCGATTATCTAAAAATATAAAAAATTCTTTAGCCGGTGAATGTTTTTTTCAATATGACTCCATTTTGATATTTGACATTAACTATGTTAAGTATATGAGTTATTTGAATTATATGTAAATAACCTTAAAATTTAAACCTTTTGGATAATTATAAATAATCGTTAGATATTATTTAAGAAACACTACATGAAGAAAGACTAATATTTTCTCAATTCTCGCAGTGATAATTTTATTTTTACACCATTCTCATTAGTGTTATTGGAACCTAAAAATATCTATAAAGTAAATAATAACTCGTATTTATGACAAAGCACAAAGGTTGACACAATATGAACGATCCTTTGGTTACGACATGACTCTTTTACTACGACTTAGAACTCTTATTTGGTATGTTGTTATCTTTCAAAAAATATTTCTATTTTGAAATATCAATTTCTAAAACTTTATATATTTTTTAATAATGATCATCTTTATAATGATGCAAGTGAAGATATTATCCTTAATTTAAAATTCACTTTAATCGGCTGTCTAGAAATTTAAATGATTCTTTAGCCGAAAAAAAAAATTATTTCAATATGCTCCATTTTGAGTTTATCGATATCTCTAGCCACGGATTTTGAAATTTGAATACCCTACATATACAGATTTTTTATTCTTTGAATCATTAAATGTTAAATTAGTTGATTGTTATTATATAACATTGCATATATTGTCTTAAAATTGCCAAGTAGTTTTTTCTCGGCACTATACTTGGCTTAACCTCAATGCAAACTACTTAAATTGCATTTAAATTCAAATTCAAATTCAAATATCATATAAGTTTGTTAGTAATAGTGATTTTTAAAAACGACACACAATGTAAATTAAAAAGATATTCTAAGATATCCTTATCTTATAATCTATATATTTAAGTTGAAAAAAATATTTGAAATAGATGAGATCAACTTCCAATTTTTTTATACTCAACAAAGATGAAACATAAGAAGAAATTCGTTGTCATCTCTTATTTTTGGTTTTTAGATTTTTCATACATTTTTTATATATTTATTTTCTTTTATCTTATTTTTTATGTCTTTCTTTCTTCTTCTTTTTTTTTTAATGAAAAAAATAATTTAATTCGCTAAAAATGATAAGTTTTAATAGAAATTGTCTACATAAGAACTTTATTTATATTTTTAGTCTTTGGTTGAAATTCTTTAATATTTTTCTTTTGGCTTTATCTAATCAACCTAAATATGTGCTCAACCAACCACTTAAATTAAAAAATTGAAGGATGTGTAATTTATATATAATTCATATATAATACAGTCAAATCTCTCAATAACAGTATATTTATATAATAACACTTCACTATAAGAGCCAAGCTTTTTCGGAACTAATTTTTATGTTATGTTATAATATATGTTCTCTATAACACCACTTCGCTATAACATCCAAAAATATTCGGAACAAACGACGTTGTTATAGAGGGTTTTGACTGTATATATATAATCACGTGTTATCGATATATCATCTATCTATATTAGCTACAAAAATTAAACAATAAATTTGGCCGGATATTTATGTAAATATTTCATAAGATTTTGATTTCTTGATTTTATCCATGATATGACTTCTATTATAATAATTTTAAAAACTATCTATTAAAATTCAAAAATATTTTATCTTTTTATTTTTAAAATTACATTATATTTTAAAAAATAATCCCATTTCGAAATAATTTGTTTACATTTAAAAAAAAACACGTCATACCAATTTTGTTTTAAATATACTATTTGTTACACTTGAAAATCGCTATAGAAATTATCAATTAGAAACCAATATCCCTCTTGTTTAATTCGGGAGAAAAAAACCTTTCACATAATCTAATGATTCAAAACTAATATTCTTCAACAAAACAAATATTATATCCTTGCAATATTGGCTTTATTGCAGCTAAATGAAAAGGTTTCAGCTTATACCCTTAAATTCCTAGAAGGTGCTAAATTGAATTTAATGACATCAATTGTATAGCCAAAGTTTTGTTATTTGTTTGATATCCATTTATACAAATTGACTCTTGAAACAAATATTCTTCAAAAAGACAAAAAATAACTTTTTTTGAATATTGACTGATATTTGTGATGTTTTTTTCTCCGGCATGTAGATTTACCTCATTATATACGTAAATAAACTTTTATTAGATTTTTAAACTCCTTTTTGTTCTCTGGATAAATATAGATGTGTACTCTATATATTACATTTATTTTAAAAGAATTTCGTTTTATTCAAATCTAGCTATAATGTTTTAAAAAACTATAATTATAAGGTTTTAAATGTGAAAGAGTTTTATATTTATATGGAGTAATTTCTTTTGCTTTTTTACCAGAGGAGAAATAGTATTTAAATAATTAAAAAGATAACAAAAGTTCCTAACATGATTGCATATGCTCATTAGCCGAATTAAGTATGATAACATAATAACAAAAGATAATTTTCTTTTTTATTTTAATTCAAATTTAAAAACTTTATCTATAAATACAAATATATATATATATATATATATGTATGTATTTGACTAACATAGTCAAATATCGAATAAAGTTATCATATACTATTGACATTAGCTTGTCACTTGGCTTATATGAACATTGTACCCACTTTTCTATATCGAATAAAGTTACCATATATTATATATGAGTCTTGCTAACATACTACATGAACATTGTACCTACTTTTCTTTCCTTAGATATCATTAGGCAGTAACCTAACAGCACATTAGTAGGAGGGGCTTTATTGTCTTTTTGTCCAAAAAAATTAAGTTTTCCCCAATTCATTCCATAATTAGTAAAAACGATAAAATAGATGCAACCAAAAGATAATGTGCAATTGCTCTTCTCAAAAACATTCTGGACGATCTAGCTAATAACTTGACGTTGGGGGTTTATGGAAATTGAAAACACTTAATTTACTATTGAAAAGAATGAAAGAATTCGACTCATCCCAGATATTTGTCTTGAAATATTCTCTTCATCTCTGCTTAAATATTTTCAAATTGAAACTATAAGTTAAGCTTTAGAAATTGAAGACGACATTCTTATATTGAGGATGTAGATGATTTTCCCTGTCGCATTAACCAACTTGGCATTTATTAGTTTGCCATTTGATTTAATGATAACTATATATGGTAACTTTATTCCTTTAATATATATATATAAATATATTTTTTTGGGGTTTTGAGGGATGAAGAGTATGAAATGTGGTTTTACGTAGGAGGAAGAGAAAAGGGTGAAATGTGGGCATTTACTAAAAATAAACACACATTCTAATAATAACCACACGTCTTAAACGCTGTAGTAGAAAAAGAAAATAAACTCTTTTAATTTTACCTAAAAAATAATTGGAAATATTATTACATATCTTAAACGTTGTGTATACAATTTTATTTGCACTTTTAAGCACCCACAAATTTTTTGGCTATAAAAGCTTTAGAATGCTTAAGAAGACTAGTCAATTTGTAAAGCTAATTATAGAAGGGGATTTTCGTGAAAACGTCTTTCTTCCAATAAAGTAGTGTGCTCTTGTTCTTCCTCTTTATACGTCATAATGACGAACCAAAATTTATAATCCAAAAGTCATTAAACAGAAAGATTAAAAAATAGTAAAAGAAAGGTTACAATTAAGGGTGTGCCCTAACGATTAATGAATTGAGTGAGAATTATGAAATATCGGATTCAAATAATAATTTTTTCTCAATTTTATCCAAAATACAAATAGGAGATGACACAAGTTAACATTTGTACTATTTAGAAAGCGAGAGTTAGGGGCCTCTTCGTCGTCCTGGGTTTATTTTAGGAATTCGCCATTCTGCTTCGGGGTTATTTTTAGCTTTTGATCAACACGTGTTGACAACTACAGTTTTCAGTCGACCAACCTCTCTCTCTCCTCTTTGTCTCTTTCGTCTTTTTCATCGAGGATTTGACAAATAAACCCTAATAGGCAGACGAATGGGCAAAGCGCCTGCTTTATCGTCCTTTTGTTCTTCATCTTACTATTTATTGGCTTTGCTGCAAACAGCATATATGGGCTTTGAGCTATTCATTAAATATAATATTTAGCGGCTTAGGTGAATTCTATGGTTTCGAAAACGGATTTGACTGTTTGAAGGAATGAATCGCTCATTGTCGTCTCCAGATAGTGATTACTTTGAAGATATTGATCCTACCATTGGTAAGTTTCGCCTCACTTGCAGTAAAAATCTTTTATAAGTATCAAATCTCGAACATTAACATGTAATAATCCAATAATACAACGCTTCTAGGTGTGATTAGGCCTAAAACAATATTGCATCTATTAAAGCAAGAAGGAAAATCAAGGGGCGCTGCTACAAATCAAGTACGCAAGGCAATTTCACTTGCTCAGAAAATCATCGTGTTGGACCGATGAACTTTTACCATCTGCATCAGGCTAGCAAAGGCTGTTAAAATTGGTTCATTTCGGATGGCTTAGGTTCGGGTTAAAAAAAATTCTCGGTTCCTTTGCGAGGTTTGCTAGAAATTTTATATTTCCACATGTTTGTTTCAAATTCATTTGAATATCATCACAAAGCAATGCCTTGTTCAAGTAAAAATTTCACCACAAAAGAATGGACCAAGTTTGGAGGATTGTGCTTGCTGGATCAATCTTGAGGGGACATCGTCAAATGTCGCTTTGCAGACATTGCTCCATCTTATATGCTCCTACAATGATCATGAAAATGGTAAACTTGTTGTCAATAATATGGATGATGAGGTTGAGCAGGTTTCAATGGAATGAGTCTTGTGTTGAATCAATGATCACAAGGAAACTAAGTTACGATCTTGCTGGATTCTTTTTTTTTTCCAGGTGTGAAATGAAGCATTAAGATGACTGCATTAGAAAATCTGACATTTCCAGCAGTCTATTTATTTTCAATTTATAGTCACCTCTTATAGAGTTTGATAATCATTTCACAGAATACCAATAGAGATTATACTCGGTAACCTGTGGTTAAAGTTTTGGCTTAAATTCATGTCAAAAGATGGTGGTATGGTGGAAAACGCTTTTTTGATGATCAGTTTACTGCTAGCACGAGGACAACATTATCCTGCTCTATTACATGTGCAAATAGATGGATCATAACCCTTTCTTAGGGTGTATGCTTGATGGATACATAGGAATATAATGAGAAACAGAACAATGGCTATACATGGTTAGTGGTTACCAAGAAAATGCCACATTTAAGATCAAGTTGTAAATGTGGGGAGTAATTGTCCTACTAAAGCAAAAGGGCCCTCGGGGTACCAACTATGGTCCAATGGGCGATTATTGAAGCTTCAGGCCATAGTGTTATCACACCTGAATTTTTTTTGATGATGTGAACCAAAACTCTTGAGACTAAAAAAGATGCTGCAGGAAGCAAAGGAGACATTGAAGAAGATGCTTCAGGAAGCAAAGGAGACATTGCAGTGCCTAAGCAAAGGAGACACGCTTTAGGCATTGAATTTATTTATTCGTAGTGTAAATAAATAAGTTGTGTAATCTAGATGCGCTAAAAATGCATAGTTTAGCATATAGAAATTATCTGTTATCCTGATTACTCCGGGGAAACTTGAAAGCTTGCCTCTCCTCTGCATATGTCGATTAGGTGGTGTATGTATTGTCCCACTATGAGTTCATTGTGTGAAATTCACTTTAAAGCTACTGCATAGTCTTGCTTGCCTATCTGAAAGTCTTGCCTTATGTATGGTGCAACCAATTATTTTTGTTTATGCGAATCAATGTTTTTTCCCTTTTTTTTCTTTCTAATAAAGCAAAAGTATACAAAGTGATGCTAAGTAGGGCTGAGATTTTACTCTATTTCTGCAGCTAACTCCAACATTAATGGAAGAGAATTGACCTGAAGGTGATTTAAAAGAGATCTAGACATAACTTGGGTAAGATTTCCTGCTCTTTTCTTTCCCGCCCGGTGTCTGTGAAACTCCATGCCTCCCCAAGACAGTGAATTCCTTGAAATTTGTTATTAGCATTCAAGGAGAGCAAACTTAGCTTCTCTCTTTAATCTTGTGTATTTCTTTAGGCTTAAAATTTGTTTTAAGCTAAGCTATGTACAATGAGAATCTGGGATTCTTCTGCTTCACAGAAACTTATTTTCTAATAGCTTAAAGTTTGGGACTTTTAGTTGTTAGTTTCCATGGGAGTAAGCTCAACCTTCTTTCTTTATTTCTTTTATCCTTTTTTTAGTCATCGTTGTAGAATAAATATAATGATTATGCTATATTTTTATGGTCGGTTGTTATTGATGATCATTGTTGGCCATTTGTTTTTTAATTCAGTGACAATATATCTTTTGTGTGCTCCGCATCTATGAAAAAACATATCATATTGATGAAGATCACCCAATCCCAATGCCTTCATGTTATGGTTGCGAATAATACTCTTACTTTATGGAGAAACTTTTTGAACATGTAGGCATTTTCTTGTGGCGTGACTGACTCGGGATTGGGTTATTTTGCAGAACATGATTCAGGTGGACAATTAAATATATAATATTGTGGAAATGTAGCCATTGGGATGACTTACATCAAATTGTAAAATATTAAATCATACTCAAAACCTAAGGTAGAGAATCCATTTAAATTTTGAGTCAAATGGTTATTGGAGAGTCACTTTCATCCCTGTATTGTGCAAATATATACTTGACTAGATCAACCTGTCTAGATAAATTTTTTTACTATGTCTAACCGTTGCTTGGGTTATTGATGGTGACTGCTTCCGACCACCAAAAACCATCTCTGAACCGACATGTAACTTTACAGAACTTATACTTAAAGATCCATTGGGACAAAAGAGGAGTCCAGAAAAAATTTATCAAAGCGCTTTGAGATCGGTGGCGGAAACAACGGGGGAGTAGGTAATCATGGAGCCAATTACAGGAGTTTTACCAGGATGATCTAAACTAAGAGAAAATTTAAGTCATCTAATGATGCCTTACATCTCATTGTGTACCTGTTTCTGTTGTAAAGATCCTATTGTCCCATGCTCTTGCAAATATGTAGATAATATGTCCATTTGTTGTGAAATGGACCGTGAACATTAACTCCATGCAGAAATAGTCTGTTACAAGTAAACTTCCCTTAGGCTTATTGAACTATTAACATGGCATAAAAATATTTCCTTCCTGTAGTCTCCAAATGAAGTCTTCTTTGTGTGTGTAATTTTTTTTTATATGTTTGGCTGTTTTCAAGGCTCCTGGAGAGTTGAAGTGCAACATATTTCAGATAAGAGTGTCATAATGAGTGAAATTTCAGACACAAGGAGTAATCTCTTGTTTGTGTTAATTGAAATATGTTATTATGATTTTCTAAATGAGCTTGTCAGCATAGCATTGACCTATACATTCTCCTGCTTCACTGGCAATTACCACAAAGTAGACCAGCTGCTATTTGTTAATGTTATCTGTATCCATTTACTTTTATCTTACAGGGCTCATTTGAGTTGATATTTCTCTCACTGCAACCAATTTAAATGGTGGTATCGATTTTCTCTTGTACGGCGTATACGGTTAAAATCGGGCCCACCCGATTTTACTGTTTGACCGAGACCGGGACTTTGCATCAAAGGATGACTCCGAAGTGGATCGAATCGAGGCACGAAGACAAGGTACCAAGATCGAGGCTGACAACAATCGAGACCAAACGAGACAGACATCGAGCAATACCGATGATAGCATAATAATGGAAAAGCGAGATATCCTCGACTGGTCGAAGATCATGGCGGAAATTTCGGAACGGATCGAATCAAGAACAGTTGTTTAGTTAATCATGGGATTTCCTTCTGTAATTAGAATTGTACCATATATAGAATTCTTCTACTATATAAAGGGAGAGTTCTAACCATTTGTAGAAACGACCGAGACAAAAAACAATATAATTTTCTTTCTCGCTCATACTCTTGTTCTTCAGCTTATTGTATTTTTATTGTCCTTGTATCAACCAGTTCGAGGGTACTTCAACTCAAGGGTTGAGTTCTATTCAAACACTGGTTTGATTTACTTTATTGCACAATTCTATCATTAATTTATATATATATTTCAATTTGTATTAAGTGAAATCACGTATCTTTAAATCCACATAAGTTTAATTGTTATTCAATTTTAAGGGTAAACAGTTTGGCGCCCGTCGTGGGGCTAAGGATAATAGTGATTGCTAAATACTGATTTCAATAACACACACAACTTTACGCTTGTTCTTGTAAGTATTTTTGTTTTCAGGAAAAAAACATGTCAAACTCACAAACAACACCCGCACATGGTGACAACGGTTTCAGATTTCACGGGGAGAACGACAATATAGCCGCCCTAGGAATCGAGGTGCCTCAGGCTGATCTCGAGGGAGTACCAATTGCAAACCCCATCGACGTCAGTTCACATGTCGCCCTAAATACAAATTTGGGCGCTGATCCCGAAGGTAGCGTACGCAGGAAAGGTCGATATGGTGGTCGAGGTATGCAGGGCGGAGGAGATGGTGGAGTCAGCCTCCAATTGATATTTGAAATGTTATAGGCTCAACAAACCGTTATAGCGCAACTACAAAGCGCCGAGTGGGGTAGAACCAGAAGTCGTCCACAGGACCGAGCAAGTGTCGGAAAGGTCGAATGCCAATGAATCGGGGACTGACCTCGTCATTATGAAAATGCTCGAGGAGCTCACTAAACGAATTGAAACGGGAGAAAATAAAATCGAGGCAAATGACAAGAAAGTAGAGACATATAACTCCCGGGTTGACCAAATACCGGGGGCGCCACCAATTTTAAAGGGTACGGACTCGAAGAAGTTTGTGCAGAAGTCGTTCCCCCCAAGTGCGGCTCCGAAGCCCATTTCGAAGAAATTTCGCATGCCGGAAATCCCCAAGTACAATGGGACCACTGGTCCAAATGAGCATGTCACCTCCTATACATGTGCGATAAAAGGAAATGATTTAGAAGATGATGAGATCGAATCGGTTCTACTAAAGAAATTTGGAGAAGCTCTATCGAAGGGGGAAATGATATGGTAACACAATCTGCCACCTAATTCCATCGATTCCTTCGCCATGCTTGCAAACTTTTTCGTAAAGGCACACGCCGGAGCAATAAAGGTTGTGACTAGGAAGTCGAACCTCTTCAAGGTAAAGCAGAAAGATAACGAAATGTTGAAGGATTTCGTATTTCGGTTCCAGATGGAATGCATGGAACTACTACCAGTCACAGACGATTGGACTATTCAAGCTTTTACTCAAGGTTTGAACGATTGGAGTTCGGTGGCCTCACGACAGCTAAAGCAGAATTTAATTGAATACCCAGCGGTAACTTGGGCCGATGTACATAATCGATACCAGTCGAAGATCATGGTCGAGCATGATCAATTAGGGACCCTTTCCGGTTCCGCTTATCCGGTCAGGCCCGTTGGAAGAACTCAGAGAGATATCGACAGAGAACCTCGGTCGAACAGAGATCGATATCAACCATACAATACAGATCGTAGAAACAGAGCTCTCGAGGGCTCATGAGCAAAAACGGTTTCGATAAATGTGCCGATCCCACAGAGGCACCACGATTATCAGAATACAACTTCAACATCGACACATCAGGTATTGTGTCAGCCACTGGGAGAATCAAAGATACTAGATGGCCCAGGCCCATACAGACCGATCCACCCCAAAGGAACCCCAATCAAATATGTAAATACCATGGTACGCATGGTCATAGAACCGAAGACTGCAGACAACTAAGGGAGGAGGTGGACCGTCTATTCAATGAGGGTCACCTTCGAGAGTTCTTGAGCGACCGAGCTAAAAATCGTTTTAGAGACATGGATGCAAACAGGAAAAACGAGCAGGAAGAACCACAACATGTGATTCACATGATCGTTGGTGGGATCGATATTCCACAAGGGCCCGTTTTCAAACGTACTAAGGTATCGATCACCAGGGAAAAATGAACTCGAGACTATGTGCCAGAAGGCACTTTATCATTCAACGATAAGGAAGCAGAAGGGATCTCACAACCCCACAATGATGCATTGGTAATCTCTATCCTTGTGAATAAAATTCAGGTTAAACGTGTTTTAATTGATCCAGGAAGCTCGACCAATATTATTCGATCGAGGGTTGTGGAGCAAGTCGGCCTACAAGATCAGATCGTGCCGGCAACACGAGTTCTCAATGGTTTCAACATGGCAAGCGAAACGACTAAACGAGAAATCATTTTACCAGTAAATATAGCTGGAACTATCCAAGAAACTAAGTTTCATGTGATCGAAGGCGATATAAGATATAGTGCCCTGTTCGGAAGACCCTGGATTCACAATATGAGGGTAGTCCCTTCAACACTTCACCAAATGCTGAAGTTCCCAACATCGGATGAAATAAAAACAGTGTACGGGGAACAACACGCTGCCAAAGAGATGTTTGCGGTCGACGAAGTGATACCGATATCGGCACTTTCGTCAACAAAAGGATCAGAGTCCAAAGGAAAACAAGAAGCTAAATAGCAACCACAGCTGCCAGCCTCAACTCAATCGGAGAAGTAGGGAACAGACGATGACGATGACCATTGGATCCCTCGATCCTTCATAATCCCAGAGGATTCTGACACCACCAAATCAACGGTCAAGGAGCTGGAGCAGATCGTACTGATCGGGCATCTACCCGACCGAAAGGTATACGTGGGAACGGGGTTACCCCCGAGCTCAGGGAAAAACTCATTAATTTTTTTTATCAATAATATGGATTCTTTTGCTTGGTCCCATTTAGATATGACAGGGATCCCACCGGAAATCGCTACACATCGACTGAGCTTGGACCCGAAGTTCTGCCCGGTAAAACAAAAGAGAAGACCCTAGTCAGAGGTAAAACATGCATTTATCAAGGACAAGGTAACCAAACTTCTCAAAATAGGATCCATTCGGGAGGTAAAGTATCCCGAATGGTTAGCAAACGTAGTCGTAGTCCCTAAAAACGGAAATAAACTTAGGATGTGCGTAGATTATAAAGATTTAAACAAAGCATGTCCTAAAGACTCTTTTCCTCTACCGAATATCGATCGTATGATCGATGCCACGGCCGGCCACGAGATCCTTAGTTTTCTCAATGCATACTCCGGGTACAATCAAATACAAATGAACCCGGAGGATCAGGAAAAGACTTCGTTCATCACTAAGTATGACACCTATTGTTATAATGTAATGCCGTTTGGACTAAAAAATGCTGGTGCCACCTATTAACGCTTAGTAAATCAAATGTTCGAAGAACAAATTGGTAAGTCAATGGAAGTTTATATTGACGATATGCTAGTTAAGTCCCTGCGAGCAGAGGACCATTTGACACATTTGCAGGAGACCTTCGATATACTAAGGAAATACAATATGAAACTCAAACCGGAGAAGTGTGCATTCGGGGTCGGTTCGGGCAAGTTCCTCGGCTTTATGGTATCAAATCGGGGTATCGAAATCAACCCGATAATATCAAGGCGATCGAAGACATCACAATCGTGGATAATGTTAAGGCCGTACAAAGATTAATGGGGCGCATAGCCGCCGTAGGCTAATTCATCTCAAAGTCTTCAGATAGAAGTCACAAGTACTTCTCACTGCTCAAAAAGAAGAACAACTTTGCATGGACCCCGGAATGCCAACAAGCATTGGAAGAGTTAAAGCGGTACCTCTCGAGCCCGCCACTGCTTCATACTCTGAAAGCAGACGAGCAACTCTATTTGTACTTAGCAATCTCGGAAATCGCGGTAAGTGGAGTCCTAGTTCGAGAAGAGTTAGGTACGCAATTTCCTATTTACTATGTTAGTCGAACTCTAGGTGAGGCCGAGACCCAATACCCACACTTAGAAAAATTGGCGCTTGCCCTAATAAGCACCTATAGGAAATTAAAATCATATTTTCAATGTCACCCAATTTGTGTGGTGACCACTTATCCTCTTCGCAATATTTTGCATAAGCCCGAACTCTGGGGCCGATTGGCCAAATGGGCCGTCGAAATCAGTGGGTATGATATCGAGTATCAACCCCGAACGATCATCAAGTCTCAAATCTTAGCAGACTTCGTGGCCGACTTTACGCCAACTCTCGTACCTAAGGTCAAAAAAGAACTATTATTAAAATCGGGTACAACATCGGGGTGTGGACCCTATTCACAGACGGTGCTTCGAACATGAGGGGATCCGGGCTAGGCATCGTTTTGAAGTCGCCCACAAGTAATACAATTAGACAGTCTATCAAAACTTTCAAGTTGACTAACAACGAGGCTGAGTATGAGGCCATGATTGCAGGTCTCGAGTTAGCTAAGAGTTTGGGAGCAGAGGCCATCGAAGCCAAATGTGACTCTTTACTTGTGGTAAACCAAGTTAACGGAACCTTCGAGGTTCGAGATGATCGAATGCAGAGATACTTGGATAAATTACAGGTGACACTACATCGGTTTCAAGAATGGACCCTACGACATGTACCTCGAGAGCAAAACAGCGAAGCCGATGCTCTTGCAAATTTGGGGTCGCCGGTCGAAGACGACGAAATTAGCGCGGGGACTATCGTGCAACTTTCGTGGTCAGTGATCGAAGAAGGCCATGCCTAAATAAACTCCACAAGTCCAACCTGGGATTGGAGGAATAAATATATCGAGTACCTAAAGAATGGAAAACTTCCATCGGATCCTAAGGAATCGAGGACTCTACTTACGAAGGCTGCACGATTCACATTGGCGAAGATGGAATACTATATAGAAGGATGTTCGATGGACCATTGGCAATATATTTGGGTCCTGGAGACACCGACTACGTCCTACGGGAAATTCACGAGGGAACTTGCAGAAATCATTCCGGTGCCGAATCATTGGTTCACAAATTCATCGGAGCAGGGTACTACTAGGCCAATATGGAAAAAGATACGAAGGAATTTGTTCG